CAAAACGTCTTCTATCTAGAATCTGAAAACATCCTGTCAAACATTCAAAACTCCCTCCATCTAGAATCTGAAAAAATCCTGTCAAACATTCAAAACGTCTTCTATCTGGAATCTGAAAACGTCCTGTCAAACATTCAAAACGTCTTCCATCTAGAATCTGAAAACATCCTGTCAAACATTCAAAACACTTCTAGAAGAAATAGACAAACAGCTGACCACTTAGTTAGGTTAACAGAATCAGTTTTTCAAGCATTTAACAGGAATCATGTAGCAGTAGGAGCATTTTAGATGTCAAGCGGGCCTTTGATTCCGTCTGGCATAATGCACTACTATACAAGTTCGCAAAACTAAACCTACCGTCAAAACTAATTCGTTGGACAGCCAGCTTCTTATCCGTTAAAATAAACAATGAATTACCTAATCACTTCAATTTAGAAGCAGGAGTACCCCAGGGTTCGGTTATTAGTACACTTTTATATATTCTGTTTGTAAATGACATACCGTTCCCCAAGTTACCCCTTCACACACGCGTCACAGTATGCTGACGACATTGCTGTATGGAGCACGTCGTGTAACCCGCTAACAGCCGCTCGAAAAGTTCAGTCTACCTTAGACGCTATAATATCATGGTGCAACAAGTAGAGAATTGTCTTAAACCCCCAAAAAACACAGGTCATTATCTTTTATAGATGTTTTGAACGGAAAAAGAAAAAATAGCCCGGTTAAATGAAAACTTTATGATACCAATATTACATTCAGTAAAACTGAACATTCAGTAAAACATTGTAACATTCAACTCTAAATTATTATGGACCAACCGTATTAACAATATACACAAAAATATGAATCAAATATTATGTTTTCTAAGAAAGATTGGATGCTACCAAACAGGATGCAACCCAGAAACAATAGTATACATCTATAAAGCTTATATGAGACCCCTCATTGAGTATTCCTGTATGATCCTTTGCAATATGTCTAACCCTCTTTATCATAAAATCCAATCATTATAAAATCAGGCATTAAGAACAGCTTACAGATCACCCAGATACACGCCTCTAGTATACCTAAACACAGTTAACCCTATTCCACTAACCAAAGAAAGAATAATAAAACTACCATCTAATTTTTACAAGAAATCCATTAATCACACAGGAATTTTCAAAACTATCAATTACCCCAGAAACTTGGTGCACCAATATATCTCCCATGAATTTAATAAAAACCATGCAACACGCTGACGTTGACAATGATTTAGTGTATCAACTCATATATATTTCTATCGCTTAGCTCAGGCACTATCCAGATAGAATATTCGGAGTCCGGGTAGTGAAAGTAGTTTTTTTCTCGGGGCACTCCCGTTTTCCTCCCACATCAAAAGTATGGGGGATTAGAATTTTTAGATCTGCACGCCAACATTGTTTGTTTTTTTAAAGTGTAAACGTTGTAGCCTCCCAAACCAGCCGAGAAGACACATTAAACTAAAGCACCATTACTATGATCGGTTCCGCCTATGTCTCATGGTCAGATGTAAAATTTACTTTGTTTTCTTTTTATTTTATTTATTTTATTTTTATTCAATTTAGTTGTTTCCTCTTTTTACTATAATTATTATTTTTTCTCTCTCTCTCTCTCTTCACGATACATATTGTACGCGAGCGGAGTGAAGAGATAATGATTCTGAACACCTCCGATTACTTTTGACCCTTGGTCAAGTTAATTTGGCCTGAGGTTAGAGGGTTTAAATCGAAATATCTGCCAAGGTAAAAGAAAAAAAAGAAGAAAGTTTCCAGATTC